GCGTGTATGCCTGTGTGCGTGTGTGCCTGGGTTCATGTGGCAGGAGTGTCAGAAGCACCACCCATGCAAGGAGGGGGATGGCTGGGTGGAGCAACTTCCCCAGCCTGCCTTGTTTGGCCTGCTCTCTGTTGTAAGTGCACAAGCTGCCACACACTCTGCACTCACCAGCCGACACAGCACTGCCCCTCTCACAGCACTGCCACTGTCACAGCACTGCCACTGTCACAGCACTGCCACTCTCACAGCACTGCCACACTTACACCATGCTTCTTCACTCACCTCCCCTCGTGTTTCCCCGTTGCCACCGCCACCTGCCACCATCCCACGGCCACCTGTCACAATGTCACCACCTGACTTCCTCCCCTGTGCTACCCCTGCCCCATACCCCCTCTGCCGTGCGAGCAGAAAGGCCCACAGCACTTTTACACGTGCACGGACGGACAGGTCTACCACATCACTGACTGGGCGTGCTGCCAGGTGGGTTGCGGTGCTGCCAGGTGGGTTGCGGTGCTGCCAGGTGGGTTGCGGTGCTGACAGGTGGGTTGCGGTGCTGCCAGGTGGGTTTCTCTGCTGCCAGGTGGATTGCTCTGTTGCCAGGTGGGTTACGGTGCTGCCAGGTGAGAGTGTGCTTTCTGCTCAGCTTTCCTTTGCTCGTTCAGCCACCCAATTTCTGCTGCATACCTTACGCCGCACCCGCAAAGCTTGGGCTTGATACGGAATGGTGACTTGCAGTTTGGAACACGCTTAGCTCAACGTCCCCAGCCCCCTCAGCTGTTCAGCAGCCAATGGTTTGGGAGTGATGTGTGTATCAAACATATAAGTGATTCTCCTCTGTGCACCCTGCGCCCTTGCTGCTGGCAGGGCATGCAGTGCCCGCCCAACACGCACAAGCCCTCCTTCCACTTCAAGCTCTCCCCTCACCCGCCCTCGCCGCCTGCGTCCTCCGCCTCGCCCAGGAGCCAGCGCCAGAGGGGCAGAGGGGGCAGGGGCAGCGCCCGGGGCAGGGAAGAGCGCGAGGAGGGGTGGGGAGCAGGCGTGGCAGGGGGCAGCAGCGGTGGCGGAGTGCGTGTGGAGCTTAGCGAGGAAGAGATGGTGACCCTCCTGGCCCGTGCTGTGAGCACTGGCGCCTTGAGCCCCACCCAGCTCTCAGATGCCCTCAGAACAGCGTCCCAATGTAGTGACAAGGGCCCACCCCCACGGCGTAAAGGCAGGCGGCAGAAACCTCATTAAGCTGCAATTGAAAACACCACCAAGCCAGTTGAAAGCAATCGTACACCAGCTCGTGTCCTTCTCTCAAGGTAGAAGGTCCTTCGAAGGTTTTGCATGGTGGATGTGTCAGAATATATTTGATGTATATTTCTGTATAACTGCATGTAGTACTAGCTGTAGTGTAGTTATATGTTTCCTGCTTGTGGTGCACCTCTTCTTGCTTGTCTCTTGTATAACTTGGGCCTTTGGCCCTTTAGTGAAACACCTCTTTTGGCCAACACCCTCGACCTTCCTCTCGCTACTCTCATGCTAGCTAAACTCTAGGCTTCTAAGCCTACTAAGTTAAGCACCTATTCTGACATGTTGTCAGAGTCTTGTCCTTTCTAGGACCTATTTTTCATGGGCCCACCCAATCCGCTATCTGCCATGGTGGCCTATCGAGTTGCTGGCGCGAAATCCTCCAATGGCAGTGTTTCTGCTGCTTTTACTGCACCCGCGCACCCTGGCGCCCCGTCGCCCCGCCCCTTCGCGATTTTCGTCGTCGAACGCCCCGTCGCCCCGCCCCTCTGCCGCCCTGTCGACCTGCGCCAGAGCCAGCGCCGATCGCGAGTGCTAGCGGGCAGCGCCAACGCGAGCGCCAGCGACCAGCGCCAGCGGGAGCGCCAGCGCCAGCGCCAGCGACCAGCGCCAGCGGGAGCGCGAGCGCCAGCGACCAGCGCCAGCGGGAGCGCGAGCGCCAGCGGGAGCGCCAGCGGGAGCGCGAGCGCGAGCGCCAGCGACCAGCGCCAGCGACCAGCGCCAGCGCCAGCACGAGCGCCAGCACCAACGACCGCGCCATCTGCCAGCGCCAGCGCCGGCAGCAGCGTACGCCCCCCCCCCCCCCCCCCCCCCCCCCCCGGCTCCCTTCCGCGGTTTTTCGCCGTGTGGTGGGGGGGAGATGTGGGGGTGGCGGGTGGCTGACGTAGCTCCTACCGCCACACTGCTGCTGCGCCGCCGCCCACCTTTTTCTTCCCCCTCACTGTTGCTCGTGCACCAGGGGGGGGAGAGGGTGTGGGGGTGGCGAGTATGACCAGACAGCAGCCGTCCCTCCACCTCTCCTCTCTCACTACCGCACGTGCCGCTGTGGGGGTGGGTGAGGGGGTGGCGGAAGGGTGCGGTTCCGGGTGGCGGCTGAACAAGGGGGGTGAGGTTTAAGGGGGTGGCTTAAAGGGGGTGTGGTTTAGGGGGGTGGCTGAAAGGGGGTGTGGACTTGGGGGTTCGTAAGAGGGGTTCGCCGCGTGGCTCCCCCCCACCTCCTCTCCTCATCCCCTTCTCCCCCACACCACACCTTTCCCCCCTCTGTGCTGCAGGGGGTGCCGCTGAGGATGGTGGCAGCGGGAGCAGAGCACACAGCAGCAGCAGCAGCGGAGGATGGGCGGCTGTACGGGTGGGGTGCCCTCCCCTCTACCCTTCCCCTCACCAGCCCATCCATCCACTTCTCCCCCCCTTCCCTTCCCCCCCCTGCAGGGGGTGCCACTGAGGATGGTGGCAGCGGGGGCGGAGCACACAGCAGCGGCGGCGGAGGATGGGCGGCTGTACGGGTGGGGGTGGGGGCGCTACGGCAACCTGGGGCTGGGGGACCGCCTGGACAGGAAGCTGCCCGAGCAAGTCACCGCCATTGAGGTGCGCTGAGGGGGATGGACAGTCAGCGTCTAGGTTCACGGGCATGGAGGTGCCAAGGGGGTGGGGGTGGGGGTGGGGGTGGGGGTGGGGGTGGGGGTGGGGGCGCTACGGCAACCTGGGGGTGGGGGACCGCCTTGACAGGAAGCTGCCCGAGCAGGTCACTGCCATCGAGGTGCGTGGGAGGGGGACGGAGCGTAGCGCCTAAGGGCAACTAGATGGGGGATAGATGGGTCCACGCAAGGACGCCTCCATCCAGGTAATTTCTGAGTAGGCTAAAAATCTCACCCCCATTGAGTTGCGCAAGGGTAAATGGAGATATGCAGATGGATAGGTGCGTCTAGGATCACAGGCATCGAGGCTGGCAGCAGGTCACGGGGCAGTAGTATTTAGGGTCACAGGCAGCAAAGGTATGAGGAGATTGGGATTTGATCCTTCCATGGGAGCTTCTTCGCTGCAGTTCTCCCTCTCCTCCCCTCCCTCATCCTCGCTGGGTGTTCCCTCCCTTCCATACGTCATGGCTGCCCTCTCCACTACCCCTCCCTGACCTGCGTCTCTATTGCTGGCAGTCAGAGCGCATAGCGCAGGTGGCGTGTGGGTGGCGGCAAGTACGGGCAGCTGGGGCACGGTGACTTCCAGGACCACCTCACGCCCTCGCCTGTTCCAGCCATGCAGGACAAACGGATTGTGCAGGTGAGGGCACAGCCATGCATGACAAGCCAAGCACATGGTGCAGGTGAGCTCACAGCCATGCACATTCGGGTGGAGCAAGTACGGGCAGCTGGAGCACGGCGACTTCCAGGACCACCTCACACCCTCGGCCGTGCCTGCCATGCAAGACAAGCGCATCGTGCAGGTGAGGTCACAGCCATGCATGCCAAGCACATGGTGCAGGTGAGCTCACAGCCGTGCATCGTTCACGTTTTGGTGGAGCAAGTACGGGCAGCTGGGGCATGGCGACTTCCAGGACCACCTCACGCCCTCGCCCGTGCCCGCCATGCAGGACAAGCGCATTGTGCAGGTGAGACCACCACAGGCATGCACCGTGCAGGTGAGACCACAGGCATGCAAGACCACAGCCACAGCCACAGTACGGGCAGCTGGGGCATGGCGACTTCCAGGGCCACCTCACGCCCTCGCCCGTTCCAGCCATGCAAGACAAGCGTATCGTGCAGGTGAGACCACAGCCATGCATCTTGCAGGTGAGACCATAGTTTTGTTGCAGGGAGGACGCTGTGCAATGTTTTGTGTAGAAGGCGCCTCAACACGTTATTTGCGCACTTCATCCAACCGGCCATCTGCTAACCGTCTCACTACCCTTGTTTCCCCCCCTCCCTGTGCCTTTGAGTGCAAGCAGGTGTCAGGAGGGTGGCGACACTCTGTTGCTCTGGATGCAGATGGCGTGGTGTATGCATGGGGGTGGAACAGAGTGAGTGGGTGGGGTGGAACACAGAAGGGGTGAAAGTGCGTGAGAGGGAGCGGAGAGGGAGTGAGAGGGAGTGAGAGGGAGTGAGGGAGTGAGGGAGTGAGAGGGAGTGAGAGGTAGTGAGAGGGAGGAAGTGGTGGGAGAGGGAGTGACTGAGAGGGAGTGAGAAGGGGCAAGTGGTGGGAGAGAGTGATTGATCCTGGTCTGGTTCCCCGACCTTCCACATAGCCAGTGCTCTTTTCTTACACTTTCTCCTCTTCATGCCTTTTTACACCACACTCTGCATCCCCCTCTTCACCTCTCTTGTCCTCTCTGCCCTCCCGTCTCCCTGCCAAACTACCTACTCCTCCGTGCCACACCTTGCCTCTCCCCTCATCAGTTCGGGCAGGTTGGAGTGGGCAACTCGGAGGACCAGTGCTCGCCACAGCGGATAGAGAGCATTTCCGAGGTCAGCTGTGTGTTTCTTGGGATGGGTAGGGGGGAAAAGTGTGGAGGGAGGGGGGGGAATTGTTAAAGGGGACGAGCATTTAAGATGAATGGGCTGCCACCACAAGCATGGCCCTGTGGTAGCTGCACTGGTCCTCATCTCGCCACATCCACACCTTCTCCCCACCTATGCTCTTCCGCCTCTTTGCCTGACCCTGTGCCCCACTTCACCCTCCTCCCCACCTCCCTTCGTCCCCTTAAAAAAACCCTGCGTCGGCAGCGGGTGGTGGCGGTGGCGTGTGGGTGGCGGCACACGGTGGTGTTGAGTGAGGGGGGCAACGTGTTCTCCTGGGGGCGAGCCACCAGCGGCCAGCTGGGTCATGGCGATACCACCGACAGGTGGGTCTTGTTTTTCGTGTTGAGGGCAGCTGGGATTGCTTCTGTGTGTGGGTCCATGGGGCATCGTGCCGGCAATGCAGCAGGGTAAGTGCCTTGTGCGGCAGTGAGGGGGGCAACGTGTACTCCTGGGGGCGAGCCACCAGCGGCCAGCTGGGCCACGGGGATACCGACAGGTGGGGCTGCTGCTGTGTGGCGAGGACAGGTGGGAGTGTGGGGCTGCTGCTGTGTGGCGAGGACAGGTGGGAGTGTGGGGCTGCTGCTGTGTGGCGAGGACAGGTGGGAGTGTGGGGCTGCTGCTGTGTGGCGAGGACAGGTGGGAGTGTGGGGCTGCTGCTGTGTGGCGAGGACAGGTGGGAGTGTGGGGCTGCTGCTGTGTGGCGAGGACAGGTGGGAGTGTGGGGCTGCTGCTGTGTGGTGAGATGCTTCAGAATTCGTGTGGCATGGCGCTGTCTTGGGCGGGGTAGGCGTGCGGCCCAGGGTTGCACCATGTGCCACAGCCCCACGTGCAGGGCAGTGCTGCAGACAAGCCTCTTGGCGGTTGCCGCTCATGCCTGCATGCACTCTCTTCCCCTGACCCACTTTCCAGGAACCTGCCCAAGCGAGTGGAGGCGATAAGCACGGACGGTGACAGGTGTCGCCACATCAGCGGGCCAGGCGGCAAGAAGGACGTGGCAGCAGCAGCGCATGCGGAGGTGCCCGATGCGGCTGCCACGTGGGTGTCTCCTGCCGAGCGCTACGCTGTCGTTCCGGGAGAGAAGGTGGGTGTGCGGGATTGGAGGGAAGAGTGTGGGGGATGTGGGTTTGGCTCTTGAGTCGATTAACAGTCTGCCACGTGATGGGGAAAACTGCCACGTGGGTGTACCCTGCTGAGCGCTATGCCGTCGTGCCGAGAGAGAAGGTGGGTGGGTGGATTGAAAGCTAGAGGGTGGGGGGTGGGAGAGGAGAAACGTGAGGAGAAACTTCCACTTACCATCCAATGCTCTCTCAACATGCTTACGGCCTCTGCCAATGTGACCTGTTCTTATGCTCCTCCTGAGCGTGCACATGCTGTGCTGTGCGGTGCTGCCCTGGTTGCATGCAGGCGGGAGAGGACGATGCGAGTGTGCCGGACGCGGATGCCAAGCGACTCAAGGCATGAACAGCGGCCAGCTGTACCACCCAGCTACCAGATCCATCTCTCCTAACACACACACTCCTCTATTCCAAGTGCCGTCTCTCTCCATGTGAACTGAGTACCGTAGGTCTGCACAGCACGTGTGTTGCAAAGAGCTTGCATTGACTCCTGGGCATCCAGGGCTCCGAGGTGACAGGCCAGGGACTGCACTGAGCATAAAATTTTAGTTTACAAAATAAGCATACGGTATAAGCTTAGCTGACACACATGACAATGCGTTTGTACGACCTTGCAACTGCAAAGAGCCCTCATTTCTCCAGAGCAATCGAGTACATCTGCCGGCCATCCACACCATTGAAGGCAACTGAGAGGCAGTCCCTGTCCACGTGCAATGCACTGCAGCCTTGGCCAAGCCCTCATTTCTTCAGAGTAGTGGAGTGGAGTACATCTGCTGGCCATCCACACCATAGAAGGCCACTGAGAGTTTGTCCACCTGCAGTGCACTGAAGCCCTGGCCGGGGAAGTAGAAGCGCAGCCCTGGGGCATGTGAGGGGGTAACTGCAAAGAGCCTCATTTCGTCAAAGTGGTGGAGTACATCTGCTGGCCGTCCACACCATAGAATGCAACTGTGAGTCGGTCCCTGTCCACCTGCAGTGCGCTGAAGCCCTGGCCTGGGAAGTAGAAGCGCAGCCCTGGGGCTTCTGAGGGGGCATCGCTGCGCCACGCCTTGGAACCGCCTCCCACCGTGAAATAGTGCACTGGGCTGAGATGGGCCGAGAGAAGGGAGGGGTCGGGAGGGAGGAGAGAGATTAGGTGGAAGGCAAGGGGAGGAGGATGAATGGTGAGGTGAATGGAAAAAGGTGAGAAGGCAAAAAGAATGCAGTGAGGTTTTTCCGTGGAGCATCTGCCATGGTGGAATGCCTGAGAAGCGTGCAAGCACGTGCAGGTACCTGTCATCCTTCTTCACATGCTGCATGTTGTGATCGTGGCCATTTAAATACGCGTCCACTCCGTACCGCTGGTGGCGAATGGTGGGGGGAGAGCGAATGGGAGACGAGAGTGTTAGTGCACAGAACATAGAGGTGTAAGGGCAAACACAGATGTGCGACGGGTGCATCCTCCCGCACCCAACCCCTTGAGTTTTCAATGCAATGCATCTTAGCACCATCCACACGACCACATCCCCCTCTCTCGCCTGCAACATGAGTGACACCCCACACCCTCCCCTCTCTCCTCCCCGCCCCCTCTCCTTCTCACTTTAACCTCTCCTCTCACCTCGAGCAGCGGCTTGACGCGGTCAATCATCTCCTGCTGGTCGCCGTGGTGCCCGTAGCTGAACACCGGGTGGTGCCCCACCACCACCTTCCACCGCGCCCTCGAGTTGCCCAGCCACCCCTCCAGCTCCTGCAGCAAGGTTTGGGAGGGGAGAGAGGGGAATGCAGGGGTGGGTGGGGAAGGGGGAGGAGGGGGATGATTATAGGGAATGTGAGATGGAGGAGGCAGTGAGCTGTGAGCGGAAGACTATGGCAGGGTGAGTGTTGGGGGGCCGTGAACGGGAGAGTTGCAATGGTATCACGCCTTGGGGAAGCTGTGGTGGTATCATACCATGCTGTGGGCAACGGCAGGGGGAAGCACAGCAGCAGAAGTCTTCCCCTCCTCACCCGCAGCTGCCTACTTCAAGGCGCCTCACGATCCACGAACACCTTCCTCACCTGCAGCTGCGCGGCCTCCTGCAGCGTCCAGTTGGCGGTGTTGAGTCCACGCCAGTCCACTCGCCGCCCCTGCTTGTGGCGGTACGCGGGCACGAGGGGCGTGGTGTCGTACAGGAATAGGTCAACCAGGTCAACGCTGGCGGACGGGCAGAGCGGCAGGGAGAGCGCCATGCTGCGGTGGCACACCCAGCGCGGGTCCCGGTTGGCGAGGGCTGGGTGCAGCTGAGCCAGGGCGTTGCCGTAGTAGTCGTGGTTGCCCAGGACTGGTGGCGGGGATGGGGCAGGGAAAGAGGGGGTGGGAAGGGGGAAAGGAGCGGTGTGATGTGGCAGGTGGTGAGTTGCGGTGGAGTGAGGTAGTACATTGACACGTGGATGCAGTAGAAGATTGGTCACACATGGAGTGATGGCAGATTGCAACACAAGCTCATACGAACGCCGCGGCAGCGCACACGGATGCAGAGGAAGTGCGCAGTGCGTCCCTTGTGTGTGCGTCTGCGTGCGAGCGTGCGACAAAGAGAGAGAGGGCGGGAAAGAAGGAGGCGTACCTGCATACCAGGGGACCTACAGGGTGCGGTGCGTGTAGATGTTGGTGAAGGAGCGCGTGAACTCTTCATCGTTCACGTCTGTCAGCCCCTCGTCGTAGAAGTTGTCCCCCACCGACACCACGAACTGCGGAACCATTTGCTGCCCCACTGCACCCATCTGCACCGCACAGGCGTACAAGAAATTTCGCGTTGCAAGGAAGGGGTGTGTGGATGGCGTGTGTGGTCACAGCGAGAGGGACGATGAGGCAGCGTGTGCGTCGCACCTGGTGTGCGATGAGCGATTGGTTGAACGTGCCGTTGCGACCCCAGTCGCCGAACGCGAAGAAACGAGCAGCCGTGCTGCTGCTGCTGCTGCTGCTGCTGCTGCTTTCGGCGGCATCATCAGCGCGTGTCGCAAGGCCAGCTCGGCGCGGCTCGAGGAGGCAGAGCGCGGTGAGCAGCGCGACGCACCCGACGACAGCGGCGATCCTTGCAGCTGTAGCGATGCGACGTGCACCCGGGGAATGCGGCGTTGAAGGGCCCCCATCGCCGGATGACACGTGTCTTGCGGAAGCAGGAACCTGAGGAGAGCGACGGTGATGGCAAAGAGGTGAATAGGATGGAATGCAGCGGATAGGGAGGAATGCGGAAGCATAGCAGCGCAAGAAGCCAGATTTATGAGCTGTAACGCGGGGAGTCCCCGCACATCACCGTGCATTCCCCTTCGCGCTGCGCCTTACCTCGCGCGGCAGCAGCGGCGTGGTGACGTGGACCATCACACCGCTCGCCGCCTCCGCTCCTCCCACCATGCCTGGCGCTGCGAACTTCTGTCGCGCGTGGGTCGGTCACTGTCAATGTCGTTGGCAACTACGCGATGCTGCTCGCGAGCGAAAGGCGAGTGAATTCGCAATGCTGCTTTGAGAATGGCGTGGAGCAGCGAGGAGATATGGAGGATGGCGGGTGGCCCGTCGGGTGGAGGTGGTCGGTGGGTGCACGCGCTGGGGCCTGGGCGGGAATGATGCCGTGCTGCCTTGGCCTCGTGGGAACAACCAGGAGAGCAAAACTGGCTCGGGAACTGGGCTGCCATGGGAACTGGTTTGCCCTGGGAACTGGTTTGCCCTGGGAATTGGTTTGCCTTGGGAACTGGTTTGCCTTGGGAACATGTCTGCCTGGCCACTACAGACCCAAGGGAATATACCTTCGTTAACTACACTCCACGAGCCCATTGTGCAATAGAATTTGACACATAAGAGAAATCGTCTGTCAGCAATTTACACCGATTTAATACGGAGTGTGCACTCAGATTGCATTCAGCATTCTGGGCCCGCGAACCTAGTAACGAGGAAGTGCCGTTTCGTCTTCTAACCGCCATCTGTTACGCCTGGAATGGCCGCAAGAAGCCAGAACGGGACGTTTCGTCTCCTCGCTTTCCCCAACGACTTCCGCCGCGCTTTCCACGAGCGGATGCAAGAAGCATTTGGGGGAGTTGTCCGCAAGAAGCCAGAACGGGACGTTTCGTCTCCTCGCTTTCCCCAGGCACGATGCAGTTGTCCTCGGGCGCTTGGCGCTCCATTCAAGTTGCGCGCAACGACTCGAGACTCTGCTGATTCCAGCAGGAGATGGCTAACCGCCGCAGCTCTGTGGGATACCTCCGATTGCGAAGCACACGCGCCTGAACCTCTCAGGTGACCGAAAGCAGCAAATAACCACCCGTCACGCACATCCATCCGCACTACTACTAGCTGCAGTATCGCTCACACGTTTTTAGAAGCGTTCAGACGTGTTTCAGACACTTGAGCGTGAGAGCTGCTATTTCTAACCTCCGCGCACCACCCGCAATGGCTCCGCTCACCCACGCCACTGCGCTGCCTGTACAGCGACCCGCCGCATCACATCCGGACGATTCCGCCGCCAACCCAGCGGCGGAGCCCAGCGCCATGCGCACTGCCCCCCGATTCCTTCCGCTCGCAGCCGTCTCCGCGCGCCCCTCCCCCGCGCAGCTCGTCGGCGGATCCACGCCCGCCAAGCCGGGGGGACCGTTGCGCCTGGTGCTACCCGCGGGGATTGGACGAGCAGCGAGCGCCAGCCGGGCGCAGGAGCAGCAGGGGGAGCCGCGCGAGGAAACGATCAGGGGAGCCTCCCCGGCCGGCAGCGCGCGCCCGCTGCTCTCCGCCGCACTGGGGGCACATGGCGCGGCTTCCGGGGGAACAAAGAGGCGGGGAGGGGCGGCGGAAATGGATACTGGGGGAGAGAATGCGCGAAGTCGCGGGGGAGCCGGAAAGGAGGGGGAGGCGGACAGCGGCGACGGCAGCGAAGGTGGAGAGGGGGCGATGGAGGGGCGAATGGAGGGGGCGGAGAGAAGGGGGAAGTCGGCAGAGGAGAGGGGAGGCGGCAGCAGCAGCGAGGCGAGCGGAGGGCTGATAGGGGAGCAGGATAGGGGGAGCAGGGGGGGCGAGGAAGTGGAGGAGGACGGGGAGAAGGAGCGGAGGAGGCGGAGTGGCGGAGGGCGGGGGGGAGCAGCGGCGGTGAACAGGGGGGCGTGGACGGCGGAGGAGGATGAGCGGCTGGCGGCGCTGGTGGCGGTGCACGGGGCGAAGAACTGGAGTGCCATCGCTGCTGGCATCCCTGGCCGGCCGGGGAAGAGCTGTCGACTCAGGTGCGTCACACGGTGCAGTGCGGTGAGGTGGGTTGGCGTGAGATGAAAGCTGGATGAGTGGAAACAAACAAGGGGGTGGTGACCTGCCATCGATCTGATTCACCCTTATTACAGTTAAGTCGCCATTACTTGTTTTCTTGTTCTGTTTCCCTTAGCTCTTTGTTTCCGAGCCATGCTGCATGCATCACGCACATCCTTCACCATCCATCCCTCCCCCCCTCCCTCCCCTTCTCTCATCTCCCTTACATCAGGTGGTGCAACCAGTTGGACCCGACTTTAAGGAGGGGCCAGTTCTCGCTCGAGGAGGATGCGCGCATCATCACAGCACATGCCATCCACGGCAACAAGTGGGCCCTCATCGCCAAGAACCTTCCCGGACGGTGCGTGCCTCCTGCCCTCGACACCGTTCACTTTGCCACGCGTTGTCTAGTCATCTTCTCTCTCCTCCTCCCTCCACCACTCCACATGCAACCCCTCCCTTCTACCACACAACAGCCTCGTATATATCCCCCCTCACTCACACCCTCTCACCCCTCCTCTCCTGCCCCTCTTCCCCCCACCTTCCCCCCCCCACAGCACGGACAACGCGATAAAGAACTATTGGAACTCTGCCATGCGCCGCAAGTACCCCCTCCTGCGCGGCCTCCTCTCCACGCCCCCTCCCGGCCCCCCACATTCCGCCCCCACAAACTCCGCTTCCCCCGCCCACCCTGCACCGGCGCAGCCCCAGCCCTCCCCTCCGCCCTCCAACACGCCCGCCCTTGCTACTAACGGACAACAGCAAGGGGGAGAAGGCGCGTACGAGCGCGCAGTGCGGTTTGTGGCGGGCGTGCAGGCGAGGGGCGTGGCGGCTCTGGTGGAGGAGATGGAACGCGTGAGAGAGGAGGAGGGCGTGGGGCGCATCCGCAAGATCCTGGAAGGTTCGCCCCTGGGGGATGCGGCGCTGCTGCAGGCTGTGGAGAGGGAGTGGCGCGAGAGAGAGGCGCGGGGACGAGGGGGGGATGGGGGAGAGGGGGAGGGGGAAGGAATGGCGAGGGGAGGTGAGGAGGGCGTGGGGAGGGAGGCGGAATTGAGTGAGGGCGACGAGAGGGCAGAGGGGATGGGTGAGGCAGAGGAGAATGAGGAATGGGGGCATGGGGAGCAAGCGGTGCAGGGAGAAGGGGAGCGGGAGACGGCTGGTGATGGGGGGGGAGGGCAAGGAGGCAGGGCAATGGCCGGAGCCGGCGAAGTGGAGTTGGAGGAGGGGGGGAAGGGGATGGAAGGGAGCAGGACGGATGAGAGTGAGGAGGGGCGAGTGGTGGCAAGGGGAGAGGTGACGATGGGAGAGGCGGGAACGAGAGTGGGGCTGGGGGCGGAGCAAACAAGAACCAGTGCAGACGAGGGTGGCTGTAGGGAGGCAAGGAGGTGGCTGCCTGCTGGTGGGGATGGGTGGACGGGCGGGCGAGAAGCGGCACAGGGAGTGGGGACTGGTGAGGGGGAGCGGTGTTGGCATGGGCGCCACGAAAGGGAGACAATGAGGGAGGCAGTGCAGCAGGCAGGTCATGGGGAGGCGAGGGCAGGAGAGTGCAGGACGAGTGAGGAGGGAATGGAGAAGAGAGGAGTGAAGCAGGAAGTGGTGGAGGGGGTGGATGGGATGGGAGGGATGGAAGAGGAGGGTGGGTTGTGTGTCCCTGAGCCTCACACTGCGTCAACATGCGTTTCCACTCCACTCCTGGCACAGTGTGACCCCCTGCCTGTTGCCAGCCAGACCAGTGCCAGCATCAGCCATGCGGCCAGTGGGGGTGGTGGCAGTGACAGGAGCCGTGCTTGGGGCATACCTGTGGAGGCTCGTGGTGGGGTTGACTTAGTTCCATGCAGTAGGAAAAGGCAGTACGAGGCCTGCCGTGGCAATCAAGGGGGTCATCATGGCGCTTCTGCTCATACTGCTGCCGGTGTTGCTGCTTCTAGCGGTGTTATTGGTGCTGCTGGTGCTGGTACTGGTGGTGGTGCTGCTGCTGGTGGTGACGCTCCTGCTGCTGCTGTTGCTGGTGGTGCTGGTGGGAACACGAGCCAGCACGAGAACATTTCCTGCCATTTTGATCGCCGCCTTCGCTTCCGAGCCTCACCCACTGCTCTCCCTCCCACCCCCACAGCGACTGCACCTGCTGCTGCTTCAGCACCACTGCTGCCGCCTTCCACACTTCCCACCACCACCTCTGTTGCTGCCACCTCCCGCCTCCCTCCCTCGCACACCTCTCAAGGCACCACCCAGCAGCCACAGGCGCCCTTGCCATCACCATCGTCCCCACCACTCGCTCCCTCCTGCCCTCTCTCCCTCGCTCACCCCTCTCTCGCCCCTCCACATCTCTCCTCACGCTTTTCATTCGCCACTCTTCCCTCAGGCCTCTCCCACTCCTCTCTCCTCCCTGCCACCCACACGCCCTCTCTTCTTCACCCCTCCCAACCACCCAATCCTCCGACACCCCTTACTGCCCAGCCACTCCCGCTCGATCAAGCCTCGGGTCCAGGTTCGGGTGACAGTGGCCTGGTAGGAGCAGGATGGGTGGCGGAGAAATATGGTGGTGGTGGCATGAGGGGCGGTGGAGGAGGGGGTGGGAGCATGAGGGGAGTGGGTGTGGGGGCGTTTCAGCTGGGAAAGGTGTTTACTGCAGTGCAGGTGACAGGGGGCGATGAGAGCTCGCACGGGCACAGTGGGTGTGAGGGCGAAGAGGGGCGTGGGGGTGGTGAGGGGTGTGAGATGGCCGTGAGAGAAGCGGAGAGGCGAGGAAGGGAGTGGGAAAAGGAAGGGGGTTGTGGAGGGGATGGAATGGAGATGATGGGGGTTACGGAGGATGAAGGCGGAGGGCAGCAGGGGATGGAAATCTGTGGGTCAGAGCAAGAGAAGTCCCTGTGCTCACACAGAGACAAGCAGCCCGACTTACAGCCCTTGCAGCACATGCTGCAGCCAAACACATGCCTTGCTGCTGCACGCTCAGGGTCACTCCAAGGCTGCCACTTGGCAGGGCAGGGGCAGTGTGGGTCACGGGTGCGGCGGCACGTGCATCGGGTGGCGGTGTCGGCATGTGGGGTGGCGCAGCTGCTGCTGGAGAAGCTGCAACGGCGGCACGGAGTGGGAACACAAGCAGACAAGGAGGCCGTGGAGGAGCGACGGGGGGATGTGAGGGGAGAATGTTGCGAGGGGCCACAGGCGATAGAGCCAGTGGGGGATGTGTGTTGTTGCAGTGATGAGCGGTTCTGCGCGGTGAGCAGTGGTGCTGTGGAGGGTGCAGCAGAGGAGGGTGTGGCGTGCCGGCATCTGCTGGATGCCATGCTGACCGTGTGCCTACGACTTGCTGCTCCAAGTGGGAAGGGGAATAGGGAGTGCAGAAGAAACTGTCTTGCTGATGCAAATGTTTATGCTCAATTTTAGTGGGTCGGATTGATCTATCTATCATTGCAAATATGTACAGCTAATTGCAAACAACATTTTGAAAGTTTTAAAGATTTTTTTTGTTGGCACCATTCTATCTTCTGTAAACATACCACATCATCTTATACTGCGTACAGTGTAACAGCTATAGTCTGGATGTAAAGTGCGCGTTGACCCGGTCGAGAGCCTCTATGGGAGTTCCTAAAGAACACGCTTTGTGCCGTTAGTGGCCATCCCACCATCCTCGGTTAGTTTACGAGCGCTTTTCCCGCCACTCCATCAAGCCACAATCGAGCCCCACCGCTTTCCGAGTCAGCTTATAACGCCAATTAATTTCGTGCTCTCCGGTCTCTCCTTGCGCCACCGCGCAAGATGCCTTCGTAGCTGGGCACTAGACCGCGCAATTGTCGCCGTAAACGCCGCCGCGAGTCCCGCTGCTGGGTGCGCGGCGCCATGGCGAGGGGCG